TAACTATGTGTGTGTGTGTGTGTATGACATCAGGCCATCATAGAAGAGGCTAAATCCCATCTGCAGCTCCCATCTCTACTCCCAAGCTGCTTTTTTTGTATCGACCCAATCTGTTTCAGCACAACACTCTTTTCCAGTGTTTAATGCCTAGATGAAACATTCCTCTCCCCAACAGAAGCCATGAAACAGAAGTTACAGCTTGGCATGAGAGGAAAGGTTAGTAATTTTGCTTTTACATAAGGTGCCAAGCGTCCATAAAACAACATAAAAGTGCTTGCATCCTTGAACGCCCCCTACTGCCCGCGCACAAGAATGAAACAGAAATTTGATGTTTCTGAAGGTGACGTTCTATGGTTAATTCCTTTTTTCCTTTTATTCTCGAGGGATTCCTGGCATTTCCTAGCAGGCAGTCAGCACCGTGTGGTATGAATCACTGTCAGGGAGGCTCCGTTCAAATGGGGGGGACGGGGGACATAAAGGGGCGGGGGGATTGATGGGCACAAAGTTGAAGGCCTGTCCCCTCACCACTGCTGGACGGATGGGCCTAGCTGTCATTGTGGACCTCTCCAGAGATCCATCAAGCCCACAGCCACCGATCAATAACCAGGGATCAAGAGGATCCTGGAGAATTATGGACATGCAAAATTAATGTTTGCACCTGCCGAGCGAGGAATTAAACTTGAAATAGGATTTAGGTGGACAGCGCCGGTAAATTTTACAATGGGGGTCTGAAACTTCACATATTTACTAACTTTAAGGAAACATATTATTTTGTTCAGTTTTCAACCATGTTTCAAAGTTGTTCCGTAATCAAAACCAGACCTGGAGTTGTTTTTTGCTACACCCATTTAAAAGCTTATGTTTCCGTCCTGTAATAGTATGATGCAGTTGTGCCACCATGACATTACTCTGAAAGCTGATTAGTTTTCTGCCCATTAATACAAAAGTGTTGCCTTTAAATTAGTTTGAACCATTTCTCAGATGAAATCATGTTCTTCACAATCACATGTCTGTGTTTGCAGCTAGTCATTTTTGAACACGTGACTTCCTATGCTCCATCTGGTGGTAGCATAAGAAGTCACACATGAATCGGATTTTGTATCCTCGATACATGTTTCACTGTATGATCTGCTTAGGATAATATTTCTAAAAGATGAAATGAAAAAGTAAAATATCTCATTATAATTCTTAGTTGGTCAAAACTAAACTAGTTTTATGAGTATTAACAAGCAAAGGAAAGAGGATGGATGGATTTCTTCTTTAACATTTCAAGGACAAATGTCCATGAATATATAGGGCGGCACGGTGGCTGAGTGGATAGCACTCTCGCCTCTCAGCAAGAAGGTCCTGGGTTCAAATCCTGGTTGGACCAGGGCCTTTCTGAGTGGAGTTTGCATGTTCTCCCCGTGTCTGCGTAGGTTTGTTGCATGTCACTAGAAGAGCAAATATAAGTGATTTATGTAACTATTTATTTTATCCTTCAAAAACTAAACTAACGCATACAATGCTTTCAACTGGCAGTAATATTGAAAAACCTCAAATCTTTAAGCTGTATATATATATATATATATATATATATATATATAGGGGGCGACAGTAGCTCAGTTGGTAGAGCATTGGCCTTCAGGCCTGAAGGTCGTGGGTTCAATTCCCACCTCTACACCTTCTCCACCGACTCCCACTGATGACTGCTGTCGTTGTGTCCTTGGGCAAGACACTTAACCCCACTTTGCCCAAAGCCCCCGCTGAAAGATCAAGGCTATGCTCACACTCAGAGAGCAGCCGTCCTCCTGTGGACTCACCACCTGCAGAGGGTCAGTGAGGGGCTGGTGCTATGAGACTTGGGTGGCATCTCTGACTGCCACCCCCCTGACCCAGAAATGGATTAAAGGGTAGAAAATGGATGGATGGATATATATATATATATATATATATATCAAGTGTTGTGTATCTTGTTGAATGAATGAAGATGTTAGGGCTGAACAGTGTACATGAAGTATTGAATACTATTGTTATGTACCTGAATGTTCTTCGCTAAGAATGATAAGGAAGAGAGGATCTTTCTGTTGTTGGTCATGGTGTCACTGTCCATAGCTATGAAAATACAGATAGTTACTTTTTTTCATTACACAAAAACATAATATTGTAACATAACGGCTTGTACTTGATCAGGACAAAAGAGCACTTGCTTGTGTAGCATTTAGCGCAGAATCAAAGTTCCTTTTCGAACAAGGGTCTTCTACATTCCTCTAACAGACTGAGGTGCACAGGGAGCAGGAGCCCTCTTAGGACAGGCCTCTCCACTCTCTCTCACGTCATCCTCGCTTCTCGCTGCGTTCAAACAAACTTTTTAGCGGTGCAAAAACAAATTGGGCTCACCATCAAAGAGACTTTTCAAAAAGCCATTTCTCTCTGCCAGTTCAAAAGAGAGACGCGCTCGGTAAACAGACGCGCACGATTCACAGCGCAAAAGATATTGTAGAAGGAGGTAGGAGCTTCGCCACAACAAAGCCGAGGAGGGCGGCAATTCATCACCCGCTCCACAAAAGCAAGTGTGACTGACTGTCCGTGACCAAAGGAAACAAAACAAACAAAAAAACTTCTTAATTGGAGAGGCGTTTTTTTTTTTTCAAAGTCCATCCATTGTGCGTTTTTCTCTCTCTCATTCCAATTCCTCTGTCTGCAGTTGCCCTTGCCCTCTCCTCCCCGCTCCCCCTCCCTGATTCTTCATTAAAACAATTCTAGTTAGCCGTGCCTGCGAGTGAAATTAGCAAACACAGCTCCAGGAGAAAGAAAGAAAAAACCCATTGTTGGCTTGTGAGATCTCTTAACAGACAGGCATTTTTTTTTTTGCCTGTCTTTTACTACCATCTCCGCATGCACCTCAGGCTATTTTTTATTTGTCCAAGAAATCAACAGCAAACTTGGGAATAGCAGTGACTAGCGAAAGAAAGAAGTTCAGATTTAACAACCTCACGATGTCATTAGCTATGCACAAGACAGAGGAAATGCTGACACCCAAGTCGCACGCGGCGCAGAAGAGAAGCGAGGGATTGTGGGTATGGCAGGTGCAATCCATAGTATCCTACAACCATCTGTCCGTCTGTATTGACATCCTGGGCTCTTTCACCACCTCTGCAATTACAATCAAGCGGCGAGGCCAGAAGTTCTGACTGACGTGTTGGACAAGGCCTGGTGCAAAGGACCCTGGGTGCTTTTGGAAAGTGTGTGTGTGTGTTCCTGCCTGTCAGAAGTCTTTCTGTCCATCTCCGGGAGCATTGCTTTGTATGTGCAGCATGCTAGCCGCCCGGTTTCCCTGTCAGTGTCTCCTCCTGTCTATCACTTCATTTTGCCTGGCTTTTATTGGAGCGTGCAGTGGCATATGTGAAGGAGCGGGTGTGAATAACAATGCAATTACACATTAAATCCAACTGTGTGCTCCATTTGTTTCTGCTGGCTGCTCTGGGGAAGTGTATCATCAACTGATTATTTTAGGGCCGCCATGTGACTTGATAGATTCTCATGTGAGATTTCAGCGGCGGATTAATGATGGTAGACAATTAAAGCTTCTCGCAAACACAAAAATGACTTCAAAATTGCCTTTGTGATTTGCAGAACAATCCGGATACTGCACTTTACCCAAATAACAAACTGTGACAGGGAAAAATGTCAGAGAAAGTGACAACACAAGCCAATCCAAATGTTGAAGGATACGCAAGGAAATCACAAAGCTGTCAGAATAAAGGGAACAAACAGGCTCTGAATTAACTTCACTGCCGCGCAGCACCAATCCGCCAGGCAAGCTGTGTCAGACATGCAACGGAATAGAAAAGAGTCCCTCACAAGGCAGCGAATGAAAGGTGGGGAGGAACAAAAACACGTCAATCCGTGCTATCCGAAAAGAATGTGAGCCGCTCTCGTGCTTGGTGTCTGGTGAGTTCGAATTTAACTCTTGCCAAGAAGATAGCGACGTCATCCATCACACATGACAAACGGGACATGACAGCTCAGCACCCGTACAGGCAGAAATCCACTTAGAACACAGTGCTGAACAAGGAAAGGTTTGCCAGAACTGATCAGATCTGAACTACTGTGCCCTATGTGTCCAAAGAAAGGAGCGCTAATGCTAATGCTACAAGACAACTTTGAGTCGCATAGTGGAATAGAAGCATGAATCATCAGTTTCAATTTCTGTAACCCATTGCTACTTCACCACTAATAACACCCAAGATCAAATATGGAACAGTCTTCCTGAAAATATGAGACAGGCTTCTATCTGACAATGTTCAAATTCAGGCAAAAAAACAGTTCTGCATCCAGCTGTACGATTGTATCCACACTCTTTATAATGTACTGTGATTTTTTATTTTTTATGTGTATGATTTTAATGTATATCTATATGCATTTAAGAATTTTCTTTCTTGCTTTGTGAACCACTTGTGTATAAACAGTGCTGTACAATCCTGGGTTTTGTATCCTTACATAATAATTCTATCACACTGTTATTTTCTCTCGTTTATTGCTTGTTTATTTTGTGAGCAACAGTCTCAGCCATGATGTGCGGTTGATGACATCAAAAAATATGTGGCAACCAGTGTGCTTCAAGGGTCTCACATTCAAATAGCTACTGCCATGTATAGAACTATTATTATTACTTATATAGGCCTACAACTACAACTTTGTTTACACTCACTATTGCTATTACAAAGCTACAGCACTAGGCTTGCTATGTGTAACTATATATAGTGAGAGTATGTGTCAAAGTGTACTAAAACAAACATGGCCATTCTCGTATGCATGTACTGACAGCTTTTGTTGTGTTTGATCCTAATTGGCCGGCACACAAAAGATATATCCAAATACATCAGGCTTTTTGTGAGACATTAAATATACCACAAGTGTCAGCCATGAAAAAGAACTGCAGCACATGTCGGCCGTGACTTCAAATAAAAATGCCAGAATGAAGATGACAACAAAACAACCATAGATCCTGCCTCTTATCAATCAGCCCTGCTCTTTGCATATTCATGGGGCTCGTCCCGGGTGCCCTCGCTCTCCCCGGCGCTAACCAACCACAGCGTCCTCCGTGCGGCCCGGGCAACCAATGGACGACAGGCGTGTGATGTAAGCGGGGGAAAAGGAGAGGTGACAGCGGCGCGAGGGCTGATCTAATAAAAGGCGAAGATGAAACACTGTCAGATGCCTAAAACACACAGACGTCTCGCACTATCTGGGGCCGTGCGCGCTCACAGCCCCCGTGCACGCCGCTCCTCGTGTGATCGACAGTTTCATAGTGTCGGAGCTGAGGTGCCGGCCTATAAAAAGCACTGCTGATATGATTTAATGGGCAAAGTCTTATTATAAGGCTGTCGCTAGGCCGGTGTAATCTGGCAAAGCGCTGCAGGGCACAGCGCGGAGACACATGCACTACAATGCACTAGATAATATTGCTATGTGCTAACGTTGCTATTACGAGATGGAGCTATTTGCCACAGTGATACGGCGTGTATAGCACTGTCATTTGGGAAAGAGTGATTTATGACTGCGAGGCAGAGGAATAAAGACAGGGAATTATTTTGATTCATCTCTCTATAGAGGCAAACTTCTTTGATTCTTTTGTTTGTATTATGCTTAAAAACATTCACAAAACATCAGAGGTTTTTGAGTGTAATTTCTACAATTGCTTTTACTATCAGAAAATTAGAATATGTTTTAAATTTAATTTATTTTTTGTTATACAACTTAAACAATTTGAAACCAATGGTAACAAAGAAAACCTTGATATATCTCACTTTGAGTTTACTGAGTCTTTCATATATTAGTTTCACATTCAATTACAGAAGTAAATAGTTTTTTCCTGTATTCACTTATTGGTCAAATTAGTATTCAAACACCATGCTTAAATACACATCACATTATATAGTCTGGGAGTAATTTACCATTGACTTTCACAATGTGTTATTTCCAGACAGTTTCTGGACTAGTTTTACAATAATGTCTACATAGTTTCCACAATTGCTTGGTTACTTAAGTCATTTCTAGTTCATGCATCTGTCATTACTAACATTACTCTCACCCAAGACCTAATTGAGACAATAAACGCAATGTCTTCCTGTTCAGCCAGCAAGGCAAAACAAACAATATTGTACATAAATACACAAAACCAACTGTTCCATTATAGTTCCATTCTATTATATACAATGCTACAGATCATAATGATAAGAATAATAGTGGTATAATAGGATACATTATTCTGTCTGTGGCGTGAGACAAGAAGTGATACTATTTTGATTCAGTCCCTTCAGAGAAATTCTCTTCTCATCTTTGTTTGTATTGCACTTATTTTTATACTGAATCAAAGGGGAATCAGCAGAACACACACTGCAGCACTGTATAGGGTTAGAAGTATTTTTTACAAACCCTGTGGAGTGAAGGCCTCCCACTCAAAAACTACACAATGTCACTTCGACATTGATTTTGAATGTGCTCCTAATGGAACGAGATCCCTCTGTTCGCCGTCGAACAATTTTTGCAACGACCAAATTGCTATTAATTATAAATAGTGAAGCAGCTGTCTTAAAATATATGACACATCTACTCGGGTATTAGACACTGCGGTGATATTGCCTCTCCTGCCACTTTTAATATCAGCACCCTGGCTCCAATCACAGCCTAATAATGGCTTCTCATTACGAGGCGTGTGTGTGTGTGTGTGTGTGTGCGTGTGTTTGGGTGTGTGCGTGCGTGAATGTGTGTGTGTGAGAATGAGATGGTGTGCTTCAATTTCAGCACTTAAAAGCCACAGATGACACCTTGTAAAAAGTTAATTTCATTTTAGACATTTACGGAATAGGGTTGTAAATTTAAGCTCCGAGTGCACTGTGAGGCTATCAGGTCTGATAATTGAGATATTGAATAATGTGATACAAGCGTTTTAGCATGTGAAAAAAGGCAAAACAGGTTCGGAAAGATAGAGACACACACATGCACCCGAACACACATATGAAGGCATGTGGTAAAGTTTTACTATTTGAAGGAGTGAGTGTAATATGCAGAGCGAACAGGAGGTGGCAGTGTGCTTGTTGTGAGCACAGAGGAGCCTATAGAGTGAATGCACACAACATATTTTCCTATTCAAGAGAAAGTGTAATAAAAAGCATTGTTCTAATTCAAAGTCTGCTTCAAATACATATTATTATATATTATACTGTACATTAATACAAAACAAGATACTTTTACAAATACTACGCATCCTGCTACTATGTATGTATGTATGTATGAATGCATGCATGTATAACTAATAATATAATACCATAGAAAACGAAATGAAAGCACTACTAACTACTAATGCTCCTGCAACTATGTATACATTTGGATTCATTTTATATTTGTGAAATTGTGTGTGGGACTGGGGAGTGTCTTTGCTATTTATTAAAAAGGCATTTCTGACGCTTCTAAAGAAAATTGCTTGAGTAAAACGCATTAGCAAGCGTGCTATTGTTGCGAGATGACACGCTCCTCATTTGTTGTTCTTGGTGGATCAATGCTTGCCTATTTGTGTATATAGAGCACATAATGAAGCCGGCATTTTCTCTGACACTATTTCCCTTTGCCCCAGTGTATTGTGTGATTGCAAAAACTCCTCCTGCTGCTTGATTTATTTGTAACCCGCTTTAATTCCTGCATCAGACGAGCTGGAGTTGGCGCAGAAGGCATCCGCGTGACCGTATACAGCATCCGCGCGCCGCACATCCTCCTTCACGCAGACACCCCTCGCGGCCTCTGTCTTAATTTCACTGGGGAATCATTTGACAGATATTGCCCTTGAAGAAGCTGCCTGTATTGTGCCACGGAGAGCTATGGCGGGGGGCTGTGGGAAGAGGAGTGATGGGGGGAGAGAGAGAAAGAGGCCGGTGGTGGTGGGGTGGAGTGGGGGGGGATACAAAGTTATTAAGTGGATGTGAAAATGCAGTGCAGCCAAAAAGGTTAAGTCTGAAATAGGAAATTAAAACTTGCATCGCTTTTGGCTTTAAATAGATTTGGTTTCATTACGGGCGCCAAGGCCAGTTAGAGTCAAATCCCCCCGGAGAGAGAAAGGAGCAGACAGGAGGAAGGAGAGGAGGGGACGTAGACCGGAGGTAAACGGAAGAACAGGACACAATAAAGAGGAAAGATGGTTGACTACAAATCTCTATAGTTCTATCGAACAAAAGAGTACAACATCACAATTGTGTGTGTATGGGTATGTTGGAGCTACATGCTAGTATGCAGAGCTATTCAGATAGTTACATAAAGCGCTTTGGCACAATTTGTTTACTTTCCTTTACTCCACACATGGTGAGTCTCCCTCAGCTGGCGTCATAGGATCCTCCAAGCTGCCACCATCAACCATTCACTCACTCAGCACTTTCATAACCCTTTGTACGGATTTTTTGTTGGAAGAGGCAACCAAGGCATCCGAAGACACGGAGAGACCATGCAAACTCTACACAGAAAGGCCTCATGATGCCACTTAAGAGTCGAAACCTTCTTGCTGTGCCTTTGTTTCTCTCAATATCTCTCAATACTTCTCCATACTAATTAGCGTTGTGCCAAAACACTGCCACATGTAATGCCATAACATGCTATAACAAAATTGTGTTGGGTTTTGCGAATCGATTCAATTGTGACCTTGTATTTCCCAGCATGAATTCTTACATTTATCGTTTTAACGTAATTATCTTTTACTACTCCCATCGGCTAATACCAAATCACAAAGCACCGCTAAAACCATGGGAGCGTAAATAACCAGTACTTCTTCAGCTGCTAAAGTCTGATTATTCCCATTACTACAACTTCCAAGTATGACTTCTATCACAAATTATAATTACTCTTCACTATAGGCTCACTATAGGCTTTGCCATGAGTATTGTCAATAGTAACGCAACAACTTGTACAATCCTAGCTTTCGAAATTCCCATAACTCCATCTAGTAGAGGAATAGGCCGCGATATCATGCAGCCCACATTCATTTTCAATCTCCTCCAAACCCTCCTCAGTCAGGCGAATACCAATTCTGCATATACCATTACAGATTTAACACCGCAAATCTAACTGGGATCCCAGGCTGCGGCAAAATATGAATACAGAAATCCCCCGAATGACATTGACAAACAGGTGTGTGGTCGTGACCTATTCGCTTTTTTCCATTTACTGGGCTCCTGGGTGACTGTAGTTAATCTTTTGACCCTGGAACACACAGGCCTTTCTTGGTCTATAGCCTTTTTACCTTTGTCGCCTGGGAAAATGAGAAAGCATGTTCCAATTGCAACTACAACCTTGTACACCACACCAGCGTTTTATGTATGCATGAAATATACACCAAGGATTTCCACACCAAAGGAGAAACCACAAGGGGCCTTGGCTGCAGTTCAACAGGAGCGTACACTAAATGCGATGTGTCAGTATCTAACCTGTATGCAATGCGAAGAGACTATTTTTGGCTTCAGAGAACTGTGCTGTAGAATGATATAATTGTGTATGATTATAGCAACAAAGTGTTTCGCTCCTACAACAGGAAATTAGCAACGGATATTTAAATACAAGGTGAGTGTCTTGCCCAGTCACATCACATATAATGCAAATTGATTCTTTCTCTTGTTTAACCATGTTACAACATTGTTCCCACATTAAAATCTGATCTGGAAGTGCTTTTAGATCCGTCCAGGGTAGCATTAGGACATTCTGGTAAAAACATATAACTGTGCCCTTTTTGTCTCAAAGCTCCTGTTGTCAGTCCTGTAATATATGATGTAATGTCACACTCAGAGAAGTCTTTTAAAACAAAAGTAATGCCCATGAATTAATTTTTTAAAGAGAAATTACGTTTTTAACAATTGCATGTTTGTGGTTGCAGCTGGTATTTTTCAAATTAGAAAAAAAAAATTAAAAAAAATAATATATATATATATATATATATGCATAAATATTATTCTCCCTCTGGTTATAGCACTGGGAGTTACAGGCAGAAAGCTGTAATTTGTCTTGAATTCATTACCCTTGATACTTGTCCCACCATATATTTTCTTATATATAATAATCTCATTCAAAATTTTAATTGTCAAAACGTGGTGAGCAACAAGAAGCTAATGCCAAACAGTTTTGTCAAATTATGTGCAAAGGGATGGATAAGATGCAAATAGAGATAGAAGCCAAGGTGAAATAAAGTCATGTGCAGAGCTACATCTCTGTAGAGATGATATCGTTTTCCCCCTCTGGCCATGCAAGGAAACAACAACACAGCTAATATAACA